TCTCCATCTGAACTGAGAAGCCCGGGCTCAAATTTTAGTTCACATCTCGCTTGCTTCCTTTGCACATCACTCTAAATCTATGTGCTCTTGTTTTTCTCTTCTATGAACAGCTACAACTCCTCCCTCTCTGCTCTATCCCCTTGCTCATTATTTTGAAAACCTCTATCAAATCATGTGTATTTACTTGTTGAACCTGGATACTACCTTTTTGCGATTCAAACATGACAAAACCCAAGCATTGTGCATCTTACATCTCACCAATCTTTCACCATTTAGAAAACATGCTTCTTTTTTATTCTTACATTCAATATGGCCAATTTCACTTTTATTTCATTTTATACGACACAAACTACAGACACAGATAGTAGGAACTGCTGATGTTGGAGTCTGAGATAACAAGGTGTAGAGCTGGATGAACACAGCAGGCCAGGCAGCATCAGAGGAGCAGGAAAGTTGACCAGGGGAAGGTGGCTCTGAAATAAATATAGAGAGGGGGAAGTTGTGATAGAAGGTGGATAGTGGAGCAGATAAGTGGAGAGAAGATGGACAGGTCAGGGAGGCAAGGATGAAGCTAGTAAAGGTAAGTGTAGGTGGGGAGTTGGGATGGGGGTTGGTCAGTGAGGAGGGAGGGACGGATAGGTGAGAGAGAAGATGGACAGGGCAAGGAGGCGGGGACAAGAGGGGGTGCTGATTTTGGGGTGAGGTCGGGAGTGGGGAGATTTTGAAGGGTTGAGGTGCTGAGAACACAAGAGGGCGTTTTCGACCACTGTGGGGGGGAAATTGCGGTCTTTGGAAAACAAGGATATCTGGGATGTCAGGGAGTGGAACGTCTCATCTTGGGAGCAGATGCAGCAGAGGAATTGGGAATAGGGCATCGCATCCTTGCAGGAAGGTGGGTGAGAGGAGGTGTAGTCTAGGTAGCTGTGGAAGTTGGTGGGCTTGAAATAAATATCAGTTTCCAGGTGGTTACCAGAGATGGAGACAGAGAGTTCAAGAAAGGAGAGAGAGGTATCAAAGGTGGTCCAAGTGAACTTAAGGTTGGGGTGGAAGGTGTTAGTAAAGTGGATGAACTGTTCGAGCTCCTCGTGGGAGCACAAGGTGGCGCTGATACAGCCACCGATATAACGGAGGAAGAGGTGGGGGATAGTGCCAGTGTAGCTGCGGAAGAGGGACTGTTCCACTTATCCTACAAAGAGGCAAGCATAGCTTGGGGCCATGCAGGTATCCATGGCCACTCCTTTCGTCTGTAGGAAGTGGGAGGAGTTGAAGGAGAAGTTATTAAGGGTAAGGATGAGTTTGGTTAGGCGGATAAGGGTGTCGGTGGAGGGGAATTGGTCCGGCCTGCGGGAGAGGAAGAAGCGGAGGGCTTTGAGTCAACCTGCATGGGGAATGAATGTGTATAGGGACTGGATGTCCATGGTGAAGATGAGGTGATGAGGGCCAGGGAATCGGAAGTTTTGGAGGAGGTGGAGGGTGTGGGTAGTGTTCCAGATGTAGGTGAGGAGTTCCTGGAACAGGGGGGAGAAAATAGAGTCAAGATAAGTGGAGATAAGTTCGGTGGGACAGGAGCAGGCAGAGACAATGGGTCGACCCGGGCAATCGGGTTTGTGGATTTTGGGAAGGAGATAGAAATGGGCGGTGCAGCGTTGAGGAACAATGAGGTTGGAGGTTGTGGGTGGGAGGTCACCTGGTGATGAGGTAATGGATGGTCTGGGAGATGATGTTTTGGTGGTCAGGGGTGGGATCACGATCAAGGGGGCGGTAGGAGGAGGTGACAGAGAGTTGGCGCCTGGTCTCAGCGATGTAGAGGTCAGTGCACCATACCACAACTGTGCCTTCCTTGTCCGTGGGTTTTATAGTGAGGTTAGGGTAGGAGCGGAGGGAGCGGAGGGCTGCACGTTGTGTGGGGGAGAGGTTGAAGTGAGTGAGAGGAGTGGAGAGGTTGAAGCAATCGATATCGCGACAGCAGTTAGAGATGAAGAGGTCGAGGGAGGGTAGAAGGCCTTGGGGTGGTGTCCAGGAGGAGGGGGTGTGTTGGAGGTGGGAGACGTGGTCTGTGGGGGGGGGTTAGACTCGCGATTAAAGAAATAAGCGCGGAGGCAGAGGCAGTGGAAAAAATGTTCAACGTCCAGGTGTGAGTAGTATTCATTGATGTTCGGGTAGAGGGGGATAAAGGTGAATCCTTCACTGAGGACTGACCATTCGTCCTCAGTGAGGGGGAGGTCTGTGGGGATGGTGAAAACCCGTCAGGGCCCAGGGCTGGTGTTAACTGTAGAGTTGCTAGCTGTAGGGGTGGTGGGCGGAGCGGCATCAGCGGTGGGCGGAGCGGCATTGGCGGTAGGCGGAGACAGTTGTGTGCACAGCCTAGGCCATCGCGGAAAGCAATCTCCCATCCATAGACTATATTTACACTTACTGTGGCCGCAGAAATGCTGCCAACATCATCAAAGACCCCTCTCATCCCAGTAATACTCTGTTCCAACCTGTTTCTTCAGGCAAAAGATACAGAAGCTTAAACACATGCACCAACAGGTTCAAGAACAGCTTCTTCCTTGCTGTTATCAGACTGCTGAACGGACCTCTCTAATTTCAAGTCTAATGTTGACAATGCTTTTGTGCACCTCCTGTGCAATCGTAACCTTGTAAGTCTCACTCTGTATGCACACTATGATCTGTATGTCCTTGTTTGCTACGATCTGCCTTTACTGCTCACAAAACAAAACTTTTCACTCTACTTCGGTACATGTGACAACAATAAATCAGATCAAAACAAATGACTCAGTTTGCCAGAACTTTGCACACTCATCTGACCTATCTATATCTCTTTGTAGCCTCCTTAGGTCCTTTTCGCAACTTACTTTCTTACTTATTCACATTTCCTCAGCCAATTTGGCAACCATAGTCTCCATCCTTCATCTAAATCATTTATATAGACTATAAAGAGTTGAAGGCCAGCAGTGATCAATAAGGTCAGCAACAAGCCATTAATTACATCTTCTAATCCAGAAAAGGCCTATTTATGACAACTCTGTTTCCTGGCAGCCAAACAATCTCTTATCTGTGACAATATGCTACCCCTTACATCATGAGCCTCTCTTTTCCATAATAACTTTTGATGTGGCACCTTATCAAGTGCTTCTAGAATATTAAGGACACTTGTTCCCCTTGATCCATTGCTCATGTAACTTCCTCAAGTAATGAGGGGGAGGCAGTGGAATTTTGATAATGTCACTACACTAGCAATCCAGAACCCCAGTTAATGTTCTAGGGACATCAGTTAGAATCCTGCTTTAATAGATCGTGAAATCTGAATAATAACCTTGACATAAATGTTAATCTAACAGTGACCATGAAACCATCGATCGTAGGAAAACCCTATCTGGTTCATAAATTCCTTTAGAGAAGGAAATTACTGTCTTTACCTGGCATGTGACATGTGACTCTATACCCACCAAAATGCGACTGATTCTACACTGCCCCCTGGGCCATCATAGGTGGGCATAAATGCTGGCCAAGCCAGCCAACAATGCCCACATCCTATGAACGAATATTTTAAAAACAAGTTTACTTGGTTCCACTTCTCCACCTGTAATTTTGTCTTTTCTGGCTTTCATGTTTTCCTTGTCCCTCTTTGACATTCTTGTGCATTTTTATCTTCAGTTCAGTTGTGCCAACAGCCTTCAGCAGTTGCAGCCGACAGGACTTGGTGAATAGCATCAGCCGTGGTCTCGGGATATGTCTGTACAACTTACCGAATCTTGACCAGCTGGTCGCAGGCCGTGAGTGTGGGAACTTTTTCTTAGAGAAAGACGAGGAATGTGACTGCGGCAAACCTGTGGTAAGGAGAAGACAGAGGAGTCTGGTCATCGGGCTTCACAGTGGGACCTTACAAAACAGCTTTTATTCTGTAGAATAGAGGCTTCGTGTAAATGTAGAATTGGTTCCAAGTTGAATTTCAAATTGTAACTGGAACCTGTTGATTTAGTTTTGACAAGTTTTTGCCTTAAAACAAGTCCAAGGCTTGAAAAAAAACTGTTCATCTCATGGCTTTTATGTAAATAGGAACTATCTAAATTATTCTGCAAATAATAATGATGTGAGAAAGATCAGATCAAATCAGAGAAGATTCATTTCATTTAGAGAGGCAAAGTTTATCGTTAGTATGGCTTTATCAGGGGGAGGTTATGCCAAACAAATCTGATTGAACTTTTCCAGGAGGTGACCAAGAGTATCGAAGAAGGTAGGGGAGTTGATGCAGTTTATATAGATGTCAGTAAGGCCTTTGACAAGTTCCCAAATGGGAGACTGTAAAAAAAACTACATAACTCATGAGATATAGGGTAACTTGGCAAGTTGGATGCAAAATTGGCTCAGTGACAGGATACAGAGTGGTGGTAGAAGGCTGTTTGTATGATTGGAGCCTGGTGTGCAGTAGTGTACCACAGAAATCAGTGCTGGGTCCCTTATTGTTTATGATATTCATAAATAATATAGATGAGTATTGTTAAACTAGAGAGGGTTCAGAAAAGATTTATCAGGATGTTGCCATGAACGGAAGGTTTGAGTCACTAAAATAGGCCAGATACCCTAGGACTTTTTTCACTGGGGTCATTGGAGGTTAAGGAGTAACCTTATAGAGGCGTATAAAATCATGAAGGGCATAGATATGATGAACAGCAAAGGTTTTGTTCCCCAAGGTGGGGGAGTTCAAAATTAGGAGGTATATTTTTAAGGTGAGAGGCGAAGATTTAAAAAGAACTTGAGGGGCAACTTTTTTACACATAAAGTGGTTAGTGTGTGGAATGAACTGCCAGAGGAAGTGGTGGATGTGGGTACAGTTACAACATTTAAAAGACATTTGGATAAGTACATGAATAGGAAAGGTTTGGAGGGATAAGGGGAAATACAGGAAGAGATTTAATTTGGGAACATGACTGACATGGACTAGTTGGACCGAAGGGTCTGATTCCATGCTGTATGACTCTATGGCTCTATAAGTAAGTTTAAGAATGACACAAAGATTGACTGGTTGGTTTAAAATGAGGAACCATATGTGGAGGTGCCGGTGTTAGACTGGGATAGACAAATTCAGAAGTCACACAACACCAGGTTATAGTCCAACAAGTTTATTTGAAATCACAAGCTTTCAGAGCGCTGCTCCTTCATCTCGTGAAGGTACAGCGCTCCAAAAGTTTGTGATTTCAAATAAACATATTGGACTATAGCCTGGTGTCAAGTGACTGCTGACAATGAGTAGGAAAGTGTTAAGTTTCAGGAGGATATAAACACATTGGTCAAATGAGCAGATCAGTGCCAGATAGAATTCAACGCTGATAAATGTGAGATGATACACTCTGGACGAAGTAAGAAGGCAAGTGAGTTACTCAATGAATGGCAGGTAGCTAGGTAGCTCATAAAATCTTGGGTGCTTGCCTACAGATCTCTGAAAGTGGCAGGACAAATTAATAGGTTAATCAAAATGGCATACGGGATGCTTGCCTATATCAGTTTATATTGGAGCTGTACAGAATTTTGGTTAGGCTACAGCTGGAGTATTGCATGCAGTTCTGGTCACCACACTATCGGAAGGATGTGACTGCACGGGATGGGATGCAGAGGAGATTCACCAGGATGTTGCCTAAGTTGAAGCATCTTAGCTATGAAGCTCAGGTTGGTTTCTTCAGAGCAAAGAACTTTGAGGGGAAATCTTATCGAGTTGTGTAAGATTATTAAGGAGGGACTTCGGGGGGGTGGGGGGGTGCGGAAAGAAAGCAGCTGTTTCTCTTAGTTGATGGGTCAATAATAAGGAGACATAATTTTAAAGAGAAAGGCAGGAGGTTTAGGAGACTTCAGCAAAAATGTTTTCACCCAGAGAATGGTGGGAATCTAGAAAGCACTGTCTGGGTGAGGAGTTGAGGCAGGAAACCTCAGACCTTTAAAAATGCAAGACTGAGAACTTGAAGTGTTATAACATTCAAGTCTATGGGCATAGTGTGAGAAAGTGGGACTGATGTAGATTGTGTATTTTTGACAGTATAGAGTCAATGGGCTGAAGGGCCTCTTCTGTACTATATGATTCCATGATACCATGATAAATTGCTTTAGTGATGTTGGATGAGGAATACATATTCAGTTAACAACAAGGAGAATTCTCTTGTTCTCAGTACAGACCTTGAATTTAACTGCAAAGTTTCAGAAGTCATTTATTTTGCATCTATTAGACAAGTACAAGAACACTAAATTTCAAACGATCACAACAACTTATCCTGAAGCAGTAAAAGAATGCTGACGGGTTGGCAAACTGATAGTAATTGGTTGAGATGTTGCCATGGAGAGAATAATAGGGAAGTTCCAGCCAATTCAAAAAGGATTCAAGGCTTGAACATAATTGTTTTGTTTTCAGAAAGTTAGCCCCTGTATATGAATTTTTTTTCCTTTATTCATTCACGGGATGAGGGTGTCGCTGGCCAGGCAGCATTTATTGCCCATCCCTAACTGCCCAGAGAGCAGTTCAGAGGTAACCACATTGCTGTGGGTCAGGAGTCACATGTAGGCCAGACCAGGTAAGGATGGCAGTTTCCTTCCCTAAAGGACATTAGTGAACCAGATGGGTTTTTCCTGACAATCGACAACGGATTCATGGTCATCATTAGACTCTTAATTCCAGATACTTATTGAATTCAAATTCCACTGTCTGCCATGGCAGGATTCGAACCCAGGTCCCCAGAACATTATCTGAGTGTCTGGATTAACAGTGCCACGATAACATCACTCGGTCATCACCTCGTCCATGTGTTCAGTTCTGAACTTGACCGATTATCTTCAATTATTTCTTAGCGTTGCTACTGCCACACCCAAGATTGTTCACCAAGGATTGCTTTTTTAATTTATTTATGGGATGTGGGATCTAGTGGCGAGGCCAACATTTGCACATCCTGAATCGATATGGAGATGTTTGAAATCTGCAATCTTGAATGTTGCAGTCTTTAGGGGTTAGGATACGAGGAAGGGATTTCCAGGATTTTGATCCAGTGACAATGAAGGAACAAACACACACACACCCACAACTCTTTCTCCAATACATCGATGATATCATCAGTGCTGCTTCCTTCTCTCATCTGGAATTGGAAAAATTCATCAATTTCACCTCCAATTTCCACCCTGCCCTCACTTTCGTCTTGTCTATCTCTGACTTCTCCCTTCCATTCCTCTACATTTCTGTTTCTATTTCTGGGGACAGACTGGTCATTAATATCCACTACAAACCCATTGACTTCCACAGATACCTGGACTATACATCCTCACACCCCTGTAAAGATGGAGTCCTGTAAAGACTCCATCCCATTCTCTCAGTTCCTCCGTCTCTGACATACATGTTCAGACGAGGCCAACTTCGAAAAGGGAGCCTCCACAATAGCCACCTTCTTCCTCAACTGAGGATTCTCCAGCACCTTTGTTGACAGGGCTCTCAACTAAGTTTGACCCATCTCCCTCACTTCCGCCCTCACCCCTTCTCTTCCCTCCTACAGCAGTGATAGGGTTCCCCTTGTCCTTACCTACCACCCCACCAGCATCCACATCCAGAAGATCATCAGACGCCATTTCCGCCACCTCCAGTAAGATGCCACCACCAGACACATATTCCCTTCCCCTCCCTTGTCCGCTTTCCACAGGGATCGTTCCCTCTGGGATACCCTGGTCCATACTTCCTTCACCCCCAGTACCCCCCCACAGCCCTATGGCACCTTCCCCTATAACCGGCGAAGGTGCAACACTTGCCCATTTACCTCCTCCCTCCCCAGCATCCATGGGCCCAAACATACCTTCCAGGTGAAGCAACACTTCACCTGCACTTCTCAGAATCTAATCTACTGCATTCACTGTTCACAATGTGGTCTCCTCTACATTGGGGAAGCGAAGCGTAGACTGGGTGACTGCTTCATAGAACATCTAAGTTCTGCTCGCAAAAAAGACCCTCAACTACCTGTTGCATGCCACTTTAACGCACCACCCTGTTTCCTGAGCAACATCTCTGTCTCTGGTTTGCTGCAGTGTTCCAGCAAAGCTCAACACAAGCTGGAAGAACAACATCTCATTTTTGGCTTGGGGACCCTGCAGCCCTCTGGACTCAATATCGAGTTCAATAATTTCAGAGCCTAACTCTCCCATGTCCCAGCTCCCTCCCCACCCCAACACACCAGGCCTTGTTACCACATAGCCTGCCATTACACACCCCGTGTTGTTAGTCACTAAGAGACCCCATTAACAACTATTCATCCTCCTAGCCTGATCATTATTAACTCTTTGTCCAACTGCTCTTCTCTCTTTTTAGGCTCGATCCTATCATTTACTCCCTACCCCATCCCCCTCCCTTTTTTCTGCATATAAACTGACGTTTCCCCAGCCACCATCAGTTCTGAGGAAGGGTCACCGGACCCGAAACATTAACTCTGATTTTCTCCTTCACAGATGCTGCCAGACCTGCTGAGCTTTTCTAGCAACTTTGTTTTTGTTCATGATTTACAGCATCTGCAGTTCTTTCAGTTTTTATATGGTCTTTAAACATATTTGTTTGAAACATTCAATTCAGATTTCATCATCTTGCCATGCTAAGATTCAAACCCACGCTCACAGAATACTTGTGAGGTTCCAGATTACTCGCCCAGTGATATTCCCATTACACTATCACCTCCCCAGTGTGACAATGACAAAATGACAGACACAGCTAACCACAAAATCAGATCATAGCTCTGCAGTCCTGTCACACCCAGTTGTGAGTGGTGCTGGACCATCAAAAAATCCATTTGAGGACAAAGGTTCATAAATATCCCAATACTC